GTATTTTCAGTTATTTACATTGATATTAATGGTGAAATTTGAACAACTGAGGTAGCCCGATTAGCCGCCTCATCTATATTTTTCGAAGGATCGATGCAACCCTCTTTTTCTTCTGTATTTTGTTGCATTTTTAGCAAAAAGCATTCCTGACCACGACAGACTTTCAAGAAACTGACAAGACATTTCGTTACCTGTAAAACAAGGTGCTGGTTGTATGGATTTTTGACAAATGTCAAATTCAAGAATTTTATGTTGGAAAGATGCTTCCAATTTATTATTCATTTAAAAATCCAATTTTTTACTGGTTATTGCTTTTTATTTCCGTTTGTAGAAAAAATATTGTATGATATTTGTGTTAAAAGTATTTTTAAGGCACTTATGTGAATTGCAGAATTCGCTTCGCTCATTCTGCAAACTTTCACATGCGTGCCTTAAAAATGTACTTTTAACACTTATATCATAAATAGCTATTTTAATATCGGAAATTACACCTATCAAACCTAATCTAAATTTAACTAAAATCTCAGGTATCAACTCAATTAGATTAGGTCCTTTTTCTAAAATATTATTTAGTGAATTTCCGTTACTATCTTTAGCCGAAGCATCAAATACCGGTCTTAGTTTTGTAGTAATACTATACTCTTTAATGACGGCGTGATGAGGAATATAGTGTACTGTATTTTCTGAGCTTAGGTTTTTCACTTCCTCAATAATACCTAATTTTTCCCACTCTAGGAATACTTTATCATAAATATCATATTTATTTAAAATTTTAAGTTTTTTCGTGGTTGAAACAAGTCTACATTCCGCTTATTGTTGTCGGTTATTTTCTAGTCGTTTACAATCATTTAACCATGGGAGACAAACTTCGTATTTACCATCCTCTATTCTTGTGATAGACTCATTAAATTTTTTAATTGTTTCTGCTTCAATTTCATCTTTACTTTTAATGGAAATTGGATCTCTTATACCAATTGTCTCCATGTTCCATAAATCAGAAATATCGAGAAAATTTAAGCAGCAAAGAGTTTCTAATTTTGAGGATATATTTTGTGATCCCATTACGGTCCAACCCAGACGGGTCTCAATCGCAGTAAGATTGCCTATAGGTTTCAGTATGTCCCTGTTATTAATCTGCCATATATGTCTGCTCCCAATAACAAGCTAATATCTAAACTTTTCAACTGAGTGTCAGAAATGTAGATATTTTCCATTTGCAATTTTCTTAGGATATCATTATTTTCCAAGCGTGGAATAAAATTGCAAATTTTGTTTTGTTCTAAAGCATAACTTTCAGTCTCAAACGTCTCATCTAAATTTTGAATTTTAACTTTATATAGACTGTGTAATTTTGGGACAAGTTGGGTGCCTCCGAATAAGCTTTGAACAATTTGTTCATCTCGAATCTTAGGTAGCCCCAAATTTTTTGCACAACTAGAGAGAATATACGATCTTTGAGATGCAGAATCAAGAATTGCCCTTACTACTTTTGACTCGCCTCTATGAACAATCTTTACTGCGATAGTTTGCATAAGTGTGCCACCAGGATTGCTAATTAAAACGCTCTCTTCATTTTGTTTATTTTCAGTTTTTTCTTTAAAGTTATTTTCTTTATGACATACTTCTGGGCAGAGCTGGGCAAAGCCCTCAGTAAAAGGGCTTGAAGCACTAAGCCCTAAGCCCTCTATCAAAGTGCTTCAATTTCAAGCACAAATTCCTTTTTATTTTTAAAAGTGCTTCACAAGCACAAAGCCCTCAAAGTGCTTTGGGCTTGACAAGCACAAAGCCCTCAAAGTGATTTGAAAAGTGCTTGAAGCACATCAAAAGTGCTTGAGGTGCCTTGAAAAGGGCTTCAAGCTCTTTAAATGTGCTTCAAGCTCTTTAAATGTACTTGAAGCTCTTTAAATGTGCCTAAAGCACTTTGAATTTGTAATAAAATTCTCAAAGTGGCATAAGCTACCGCGTAAACTCATCACACAGAATTGGTATAGTAGAGACGAACTTTACATTTCACAGAGTAGCAGTAGTATGTTTTTTTTTGAGATGTAGTTCTGGGGTACTTGGGGTACTACATGGTACTTCAATTTTAAGGTTTTCAAAATGTTCAATGGGGAAAAGTGGAAAAAATCCAGTGATAAAGTTAAATAGGGTACCAATATAAATTAATTATTTATTTTAATAATAAGTTCATTCATTTTTTTTTAAATTCCATTCTAAGCTCGAACCCAAAACCTCCATTGTTAAGAGAGAAAAGACATAAGAAGGTTCAAGTTCAAATAAAAGAAAAAAAAATTAAGGGACAAAACACGATCGAAAATTTTTAAGTGGGAGGTTGAATGATGGTCAATTCAAATTCCTTTCAAAGTGCTTCAAGCCCCTTTAAAGTGCTTCAAGCCCTTTTAAAGTGCTTCAAGCCCTTTCAAAGTGCTTCAAGTTCCCAAAAGTGCTTCAAGCCCTCTTAAAGGGCTTCAAGCCCTTTCAAAGGGCTTCAAGCCCTTTCAAAGGGCTTCAAGCTCCCAAAAGTGCTTCAAGCCCTCTAAAAGTAATTGAAGCTCATTGAAAGGGCTTGAATTACTTTTTTCAATTACAAATTACCAAGCACTTTTCTAAAGTAATTGACTTTGCAAGCCCCAATTACAAATCTATAAAAGGGCTTGAAGCACAGGGCTTTCAAGCCCTCAAAGTGCTTCAAGCACTTTCGCAAGCACAAAGCACTCAAGCCCTGCCCAGCTCTGCTTCTGGGCAAAGTATAGGATAGTGTTTTTTGCCACAGAGGACACATTTGATAAATGTTCTACAGTTTTTTATGCTGTGAAATGGTTTTAAACAGCCGAAACAAACTTTTTTCTGTAAAACAATCTCTTTTCTTTTACCAAGTGTCATACTTTGTGCTTTTATGCAATCCTGGCTGCTGTGCCATGTACAATTACAAAATATGCAAGTTTTCTTACCATATTTTTCCTTCAAATCTTTTGAACCAGTCAAAATTGTAGCTGCAGTTGGCATGTGTGGCTCACCTGACCTTGTCTGCTTAATATTTCCCATCTCACTCTTTGTTCCTTGTCCAGCTTTCAATGTTGTTATTTTTGTCTGCTCCTTTGTCCCAAAACTTTTTGCCAGATGGATTCTTTCTTCACTTTCTACTTCGGTTTTCAAGAAATCTAGTAAATTATTCAAAAGATTAGTATTTTTACCACTAAATTGATTTGTACTCCTGTGTCTTTCCCACACCCTCATGATATCTTCTGGCAAAGCAGACTCTACTAGTGGATACAACATTGCAGCGTATTTGTCTGTAGTCACCCCTAATGTTTCCAAATTCCGTAACTGTGACTCCAAACTATCATATAAAGAAGCAATTGTGATGTTAGATTTTCCCGTGGCTTGCTTAAGAACCAAATTTAATAGCTCGCGGACATATACTTCAATTAAAAACTCATCTCTACCAAATCTTGCTTTTAATTGTTCTAATGCTTTCTTATAATTTTCGACTGAAGGTGGATAACTTTCAATCAAGGCTCTAGCAGCAGAATTTTCTTCGGTCGATTGCAATAGATACTCAAACTTATATTCATTATCTATGCTTTCATCTTCATCTATCTTTCGAAATTGCCCCCAGAAACCTATCCATTTTTTGACATCCCCATCAAATTTTTTCAGGTTTAATTTAGGAAGGAGAAACTTATGCTTGGTACTCACATTTGATTCGGTCTGACCTTGACAACTTAAGAAATAATGGTCTACCTTATTCCTGTAATCTATAATCTTCTCCCTAAAAACCTCTACTGATACCATTTCAGCTTCCATCTCGGCTTCGCTGGATCCTTGGGTCACTATCATCCCCCAAATTTTATCATCAATATTGAAGATGCGGCTAATTTTATCCTCTAAAACCTTCAGGAGCTTTACGGTCGTTTCCCTGGAAATGCTGGGTCTTTTCAACTCTTCATCCAGCTGTTTACCAATTTCGTCAAAAAATTGTTGTAAAATTCTCCTCTCTATCTTCAATTTGTCTACGGTCGCCATATGTTCTTCTTAGGTACTGCAGGTTATATTATTTTGCCAAAGATAGGGGAAAATGAGGAGTAAATTATTCGACAAACTGTAATAAATTTATATTTTTTGACAACAACCTAGGTATAACGTCAAACAAAGGTAAAAATAAAATTAAACTATAACAACCATTGTTGCATTTGTCGGACTTCTCTTTTTACTATTGTGATTTTCCAACACCTACCTATACCTAAGAACATAATTAAATTTTTATGAAAAATGGTGAAAATCAACATACTTCTAAAAAAATTACCAAAAACTAAGTTGATAACTGATAACTTAATTTCCTAAAATGCAATTCAAAATTTCAGTCACTGACCAACTGGCATTTCCTATAAAGCTAGCCACAGGCCACGGCATGGAAAATGGTTGAGTGTTGGGTGGCTCTCTCACTCTCTGTACCTGTGCTCTGTATCTCTGTACATACATAGCTTATCGTAAGGTACATATACTTTTCTGAATTACAAATTCCATTATCTGAAATTAAATTTTTTCACCTTCTGAAATACAATTTCCCTTTTCTAAATTATAATTTACGGTTTCTGAATTTCAATTTACTATTCTAAATTACAATCTTGTTTTTCTGAATTTCAACTTCCTAATCTGAATTTCATTTTTCCTATTCTGAAATTAAAATTACGATTCTCAAATTCAATTTCTCTTTTCTGAATTAAAAGTTCCTATTCTGAAATACATGTTCCCTTCTCTGAAATTAAACTATGATTTTCTGAATTACAATTGAAAAAGGTGTAGTACTGCGGATTTTTCTTTTAAAAATGTTTTATTTTAATTAAAATACATTAAAATAAAACGGATTATTTCTATAAAATTACATATTTAAATAATAGCGCACTAGAAATCAAATTCATTATGAAAAAAAAAAATCCAAAAATGTATCACCGGCACTTTCGATGACGTCACATTGATTTTATGAACATACAAAAACCTTGGCAATCTATAACATAACCTCAATTTTATTTTGTAAATGATTCCCACATTTATTTTATGTTTTATGTTTTAATAATAAATTAATTATTATTTTGCAATGGTCGTCTTTACTTGTAATCATTGCGGCGAAACCGTGCACAAACCAAAAGTGGAAAAACATTACCAGTTCCAATGCAGAAACTACAAATATTTGACTTGTGTGGATTGCTTCAAAGATTTCAGGTTTGTATTTTCACTTAAATGCTTTCACTTTTATAAATTCCCTTGTTTTTTTTTTGAATTAGAAATGACGAGTATAATGTTCATACAAAATGTATTACTGAAGACGAAAGGTACGCTGCAAAAGGTACTTACAAAAATGGCATCTTTAAAAAAGGGGATGCCAAGCAAGAAAGTTGGCTGGAGATGATCAAGTCAATATGCGAGGCTGAAAAGAATCTGAAGCCTAGCTTGAGACAACTTTTGCAAACTATTTCTGAGTATGAAAATGTACCTAGGAAGAAAGTAAAATTCATTGTAATAAGTTTCCAAATAATTACTAATTAAATTGTTTTAATTATTGTTACTGTTTTTAGAATTTCATCAAAAGTTCTTCTGGAGGCAGAGCTAATATGAGAGATGTTGAAGAAGCTTGGGACATCATTGAAAAACATAAGGTTGCAAATTTCAATAAACCCACTGAAACTAACAACAAGAGAAAAGCTGATGAAGAAACCAATGATACCGAAACCGTTACTAAGAAGAAAAAAGAATCTGCTGCTGAAATTGAAGAAAATGTTACTACTGAAAAATTTGATTACAAAGCTAAAATTTTGGAAATATTAGCAGAAAAGCAAACCATCTCTCAGAAAAAGTTGCAAAAGAAAATTGTGAGAGCCTACATGAATGTATCAAGAGAAACTGAAGATAAAGCAAAAATTATTAAAAAACTAAACAAAAAATTAAAAAAGATTCCAAATGTTCTCATCGAAAATGATAAAGTAATTTTGAATACATAATATGTAAAACCCAATAAATAAAAAAACATTTCATTACTTTTATAAAGTATTTTATTACATATATTCAGTACAAAAGCAATTTTCAAGCAAACACAAGCATAAATATTGCTGATTTTATATTATAGCCTTGTCCCAACTGAAAAATAAAAACAAATAAGCGCATACAAATTCAATCTCCTTGGCACAAAGCCATAATAGTAAAATTAATATCTTCAAGATCTCTCTGTATGAATTTCTTGCAAACATTACTAGCATCCTCCAAAAACGTATCATCAGTAGTTGGCCCATGATTAATAGGAAACTCCTTCCTACCATCCAACTCATAAATGTTACCACCTTTGTGTACAAAAGCCACAAAATGATGGTTGACTTTGTCATTTGGGTTAGCCTCAGTTTGCCCTTCCATTGCCAACTCTTGATGGGCAGTTATCAGCTTGTAAGCTTCAGAATTGGTGTCGATATTAGACAGCATTTCGCCTTTGGCTTCTGGAGACAAATTCTTAGAATCTTCCAAGATTTTTTTGAAAGGGCCATCTTTTAATTCCACTTTTTCAGCGTTATTGGCAATGCAATGGATCAAGGCGATGCTGCCGCAAGCATTTGGAATGTACTGCTTCATGTAAAACAAATCGTCTGCTACAACTTGGCCTTTTTTCTTGATTTCTTCTGCTTCTCCTTCTACGTAGTCAAGTAACTAAATTTTAAAAGTTTTTTAGAAGGCCAACATTTTTTTTAGGATTGGTAGTTTACCTTTTTGTTGTAGGGAAATAGCAAAATCAGGGCTAGGACAGGTCTAGGAACCCATGCTAGAGTTTCTGCATCCAAACCGTAGACATCTACTATGGTCCATTTTTCAGGGACACCCAATAGATGAATGAACTAAATAGAAGTTTTATTAATATAAGTTTTTTAACACACAATAGAATTTTGGCATTTTGTGTCTTATTATAGGCACCGATGTACTTATCTAGAAGCAACCGCCTAAAAAAGTTGAAGTACATGGAAATATCTTGGACGCTTTTTTTGAATTGGTAAATATCAACATGGAAAAAAATTGTACTTTAGTTTTGTGACCTCTATTTCCACTTTGGGATTATTTTGTCTTATTGAAGATATTCTGTTTTATAAATCTTGAAAATTTAAAAATTATTGTGATGAATCCACTTCCAGTTTATTTTGCTTCTTAAAAGAGACTTTAAATTATAATATTCAAAAGTTTGAAGTCATTTTTGTGTGTAAGGAAATATTCTACAGGTTCTTCAATTTTTTATTAATATTCGTGGGGTAAACCTCCAATGTATTTCAGTGTACAAGCCTTGTGTAATCTCATATATTCTTATTTTCTTATTTGATCCTGGGTTGGCATATACACACAAACCCATTTCAAAGATTCAATGAGGGCTTGGGATTTTTGTGTCAAAACCCCACTTATACAAAACTCATTCATACCATAATGCCTGTCCAATCTCAAAATTAGACATAGTTATCATTACATTATAAAACTAATTTAGGTTTAATACACACGGCATAATAATAATTACTGGGTTACTAGATTTGCAAACGGTAGCAGATTTATTAATTGAAATTGGTAAATCAACCTTAAGTTAATGCGTCTCATTGTTAATATAAATAGAGTTTTCAAATGATAAATAATCAATATTAAGCAATATCTTGGTTTTTATTCAACCCCGAACCACTACAACCTACAGGTCATCAACTAAGGAAAACTTCCCTCAAGGAAAATACACCAAAAGGGTATTATTTTTTCAATGCCAAATATCAATCCAAAATCTAAGATTATTCACATTTTTCTGATCTATGTTTGTAGGGAATTTAATTGACTCTAATTAGAGGTTGGAATTGGATGAAAATCAATGGAGCTGTAAGACAGAATCTGTTTCATTGTTATTTTTGTAAAATTTGCAATAATTTTGAAGCTTTTCAGATGCAAAACTGTTGGAACCAAATTGAAATTTTAATTAATGGGTTTGTAGAGAATTTAGTTGTCTTTAATTAGAGCTTAATTACATTGAAATTAGATCAAAAGTAACCGAGATGTGAGGCAAAAACTGTCTTAGTGTCATTTATGAAAAATTTTCAATGTTCCATAAATTCAATTTTGAAGCTTCTCAAGTGCAAAACTGTTGGAACCAAATTGAAATTTTAATTGATAGGTTTGGGAGAGAATTAGTTCTCTTTAATTAGAGCTTAATTACATTGAAATCAGATTAAAATTAACCGAGATGTGAGGCAAAAACTGTCTTAGTGTCATTTATGAAAAATTTTCAATGTTCCATAAATTCAATTTTGAAGCTTCTCAAGTGCAAAACTGTTGGAACCAAATTGAAATTTTAATTGATAGGTTTGGGAGAGAATTTAGTTCTCTTTAATTAGAGCTTAATTACATTGAAATCAGATCAAAATTAACCGAGATGTGAGGCAAAAACTGTCTTAGTGTCATTTATGAAAAATTTTCAATGTTCCATAAATTCAATTTTGAAGCTTCTCAAGTGCAAAACTGTTGGAACCAAATTGAAATTTTAATTGATAGGTTTGGGAGAGAATTTAGTTGTCTTTAATTAGAGCTTAATTACATAGAAATCAGATCAAAATTAACCGAGATGTGAGGCAAAAACTGTCTTAGTGTCATTTATGAAAAATTTTCAATGTTCCATAAATTCAATTTTGAAGCTTCTCAAGTGCAAAACTGTTGGAACCAAATTGAAATTTCAATTAATAGGTTTGGAGAGAATTTAGTTCTCTTTAATAAGAGCTTAATTACATTGAAATCAGATCAAAATTAACCGAGATGTGAGGCAAAAACTGTCTTAGTGTCATTTATGAAAAATTTTCAATGTTCCATAAATTCAATTTTGAAGCTTCTCAAGTGCAAAACTGTTGGAACCAAATTGAAATTTCAATTAATAGGTTTGGAGAGAATTTAGTTCTCTTTAATTAGAGCTTAATTACATTGAAATCAGATCAAAATTAACCGAGATGTGAGGCAAAAACTGTCTTAGTGTCATTTATGAAAAATTTTCAATGTTCCATAAATTCAATTTTGAAGCTTCTCAAGTGCAAAACTGTTGGAACCAAATTGAAATTTTAATTGATAGGTTTGGGAGAGAATTTAGTTGTCTTTAATTAGAGCTTAATTACATTGAAATCAGATCAAAATTAACCGAGATTTGAGGCAAAAACTGTCTTAGTGTCATTTATGAAAAATTTTCAATGTTCCATAAATTCAATTTTGAAGCTTCTCAAGTGCAAAACTGTTGGAACCAAATTGAAATTTTAATTGATAGGTTTGGGAGATAATTTAGTTCTCTTTAATTAGAGCTTAATTACATTGAAATCAGATCAAAATTAACTGAGATGTGAGGCAAAAACTGTCTTAGTGTCATTTATGAAAAATTTTCAATGTTCCATAAATTCAATTTTGAAGCTTCTCAAGTGCAAAACTGTTGGAACCAAATTGAAATTTCAATTAATAGGTTTGGAGAGAATTTAGTTCTCTTTAATAAGAGCTTAATTACATTGAAATCAGATCAAAATTAACCGAGATGTGAGGCAAAAACTGTCTTAGTGTCATTTATGAAAAATTTTCAATGTTCCATAAATTCAATTTTGAAGCTTCTCAAGTGCAAAACTGTTGGAACCAAATTGAAATTTCAATTAATAGGTTTGGAGAGAATTTAGTTCTCTTTAATTAGAGCTTAATTACATTGAAATCAGATCAAAATTAACCGAGATGTGAGGCAAAAACTGTCTTAGTGTCATTTATGAAAAATTTTCAATGTTCCATAAATTCAATTTTGAAGCTTCTCAAGTGCAAAACTGTTGGAACCAAATTGAAATTTTAATTGATAGGTTTGGGAGAGAATTTAGTTGTCTTTAATTAGAGCTTAATTACATTGAAATCAGATCAAAATTAACCGAGATTTGAGGCAAAAACTGTCTTAGTGTCATTTATGAAAAATTTTCAATGTTCCATAAATTCAATTTTGAAGCTTCTCAAGTGCAAAACTGTTGGAACCAAATTGAAATTTTAATTGATAGGTTTGGGAGATAATTTAGTTCTCTTTAATTAGAGCTTAATTACATTGAAATCAGATCAAAATTAACTGAGATGTGAGGCAAAAACTGTCTTAGTGTCATTTATGAAAAATTTTTCAATGTTCCATAAATTCAATTTTGAAGCTTCTCAAGTGCAAAACTGTTGGAACCAAATTGAAATTTCAATTAATAGGTTTGGAGAGAATTTAGTTCTCTTTAATAAGAGCTTAATTACATTGAAATCAGATCAAAATTAACCGAGATGTGAGGCAAAAACTGTCTTAGTGTCATTTATGAAAAATTTTCAATGTTCCATAAATTCAATTTTGAAGCTTCTCAAGTGCAAAACTGTTGGAACCAAATTGAAATTTCAATTAATAGGTTTGGAGAGAATTTAGTTCTCTTTAATTAGAGCTTAATTACATTGAAATCAGATCAAAATTAACCGAGATGTGAGGCAAAAACTGTCTTAGTGTCATTTATGAAAAATTTTCAATGTTCCATAAATTCAATTTTGAAGCTTCTCAAGTGCAAAACTGTTGGAACCAAATTGAAATTTTAATTGATAGGTTTGGGAGAGAATTTAGTTGTCTTTAATTAGAGCTTAATTACATTGAAATCAGATCAAAATTAACCGAGATTTGAGGCAAAAACTGTCTTAGTGTCATTTATGAAAAATTTTCAATGTTCCATAAATTCAATTTTGAAGCTTCTCAAGTGCAAAACTGTTGGAACCAAATTGAAATTTTAATTGATAGGTTTGGGAGATAATTTAGTTCTCTTTTAATTAGAGCTTAATTACATTGAAATCAGATCAAAATTAACTGAGATGTGAGGCAAAAACTGTCTTAGTGTCATTTATGAAAAATTTTTCAATGTTCCATAAATTCAATTTTGAAGCTTCTCAAGTGCAAAACTGTTGGAACCAAATTGAAATTTCAACTAATAGGTTTGGAGAGAATTTAGTTCTCTTTAATTAGAGCTTAATTACATTGAAATCAGATCAAAATTAACTGAGATGTAAGGCTAAAAACTGTCTTAGTGTCATTTATGAAAAATTTTCAATGTTCCATAAATTCAATTTTGAAGCTTCTCAAGTGCAAAACTGTTGGAACCAAATTGAAATTTTAATTGATAGGTTTGGGAGAGAATTTAAGTTGTCTTTAATTAGAGCTTAATTACATTGAAATCAGATCAAAATTAACCGAGATGTAAGGCAAAAACTGTCTTAGTGTCATTTATGGACAATTTTCAATGTTCCATAAATTCAATTTTGAAGCTTCTCAAGTGGCAAAAACTGTTGGAACCCAATTGAAATTTTAATTGATAGGTTTGGGAGAGAATTTAGTTGTCTTTAATTAGAGCTTAATTACATTGAAATCAGATCAAAATTAACCGAGATGTAAGGCAAAAACTGTCTTAGTGTCATTTATGAAAAATTTTCAATGTTCCATAAATTCAATTTTGAAGCTTCTCAAGTGCAAAACTGTTGGAACCCAATTGAAATTTTAATTGATAGGTTTGGGAGAGAATTTAGTTCTCTTTAATTAGAGCTTAATTACATTGAAATCAGATCAAAATTAACTGAGATGTAAGGCTAAAAACTGTCTTAGTGTCATTTATGAAAAATTTTCAATGTTCCATAAATTCAATTTTGAAGCTTCTCAAGTGCAAAACTGTTGGAACCAAATTGAAATTTCAACTAATAGGTTTGGAGAGAATTTAGTTCTTCTTTAATTAGAGCTTAATTACATTGAAATCAGATCAAAATTAACTGAGATGTAAGGCAAAAACTGTCTTAGTGTCATTTATGAAAAATTTTC